GTATACCATTTGATTGTCTGTCGATTGAGTCGAACCGGAAGAATAACCAGAAGATAATTGCAAGATGTCTGCCAACCCGACGCCCGCACAGCAGCAGCAAAACCAGTCGTCCAAACGTCTGCAACAAACGCAGGCACAGGTATAGTGTGTCCGACCCCTTACACACCCCCTTCCCCTCCAAACCCCTACCCCTCCCATAACACATATCACAACCCAATGTTTGCCCCGATATAACCACCTGTTATTAATGCCCTCGAGTATAGACAGTAGTCATGTATTTGTTAGGGGGCGGCACCGGTAGGTCCAAGTGCTCTGATTGTGTCCACTAATATGTTATGATATACCGTATGTTTAGTTTGCCATAGGATTGTGGTTATCGTTAGCCCCGAAGTATATATACGCCGGTTGTTTGTACAGCTGGTGCGACCCTCCTATCCTCTCACCCCCTACCCTCTGACCTGTGCCGAGAGCACCGGTAATGTCTAATAATAACACTAATGGCATATTGTTTTACACCCGACGCGTGCGGACGACAGGTGGACGAAGTGGTGGGCATAATGAGGACAAACGTGGAGAAAGTGCTGGAGAGGGACAACAAGTTGTCTGAGTTGGACGACAGGGCGGACGCCCTACAACACGGCGCCTCCCAGTTCGAGCAACAGGCGGGCAAACTTAAGCGCAAGTTCTGGTGGAAAAATCTGAAGGTATGGCCACCCGATGTGTGCCCGATGTTTGCATCAGTTTGATTGTCTGGTTTTGGTTTTGTAATGTGTTGTTAGTGTTTGAGTCTATGGTTTAGTTTACGGCTACCGTTAGGGTATAGCGCGGGTCACCAATAGTAATGGTGTCCCCGATTGTTAGTGTGAGGGCCCACCGCCCGGGCGGGCAGTCTGTTAGGCCCGGGCCTTAACCGATGCCTTTCAAACCCTAGCGGTCTGTTTGGCCAACGATTAGTTTAGTTAAGGATTTAGTGTCTTATGTTTAGTTTAATTAAAGTTTTTCGGTACTCATTATAAGTCTATGGGAACTGTATGTTTGCCATAAGTGATTAATGGTATGATTTTGATGAAACCCAACACCATTTATAGTCCATTTTAATAGCTTTATTGTTTAACAGTGTTTAGATAGGGATATCGTATTACAATCGTTAATAGCTTTTAATGTAATTCAATATTGTTGTGCTTAAATATTTTTCAATGTAAATAGGCTAGGTGCTAATTTTACAGTAATTCAAACCTCGATTATAATTGTTTTAATTATGATTAATTATATTACAAACCAAACCAAAATAGATGATCGCACTTATGGTCGCAATTATAATCATTTTAATATTGATTTTTGGAAGTAAGTGTTGTTTAAACAGTAAATCTAATGTATTTTTCTCTCCCCATTCATGCCAACCCTCGCCCCCTCACCCCTCCCGGCCCTCCCCGTACACCACCATTATATGCACATGACTTGGGGTGTATATGGCATGCATTTCTAGATGATTTTAATAATGGTTGCCATCGCTATCATTATATTGATTATTATTATTGGTAAGAGTTGTTTGTTTGTAGTCTTAATTTGTTTTAATTTTATTTATTATTTTATTATTAATTTTTGTTTTTTAATTAGTTTTAAGTTTTGTTTGGAAAGTATTTATTAATTGGTTTTTGTGTTTATTTCCATTTAGTATTGGATATGTTATTAGGATTTTGTGTTTACACCCCCTTTGCACACATTATTATACCCCCTCCCTATCGCTCACCCTTTCCCTTACCATTTAGGGATAAATTGATTGCATTTTTATCATGTTTTTTTAACTATGCCTTCAATAATAAGGTGTTTTAATTATAATGAGATAAAAACGACGACAACAAGTGTTGCCGACGATTATGTAAACCCATTGATTGAATGGTGTATTTGTTTTTGTCGTTTTCAAAGACAGTTGTGTTGATAAGGAGAGAGAGAGAGAGAGAGAGAGAGATCTTTGGCCACAAATTATCGGCTAATTGTAGGGTTCAACGAGTTTTGAAGGTTTTTGTTGCTTTTGTCTGTTTTTTATAATTGTTTTTAACACTTGGTTTTAAATAAGCGTTTGTTTTTCAATTACGGTATCATTTATTTTAATGAATTTATGATTAATATATTTGCGAAGGAATCTGTTTTTTGTTATTACGGTATTAATAATGATTAGATTTTTATGTATAACGAGTCCCTGTCTTACCAGCTCTCTCTCTCTCTCTCTCTCTCTCTCTCTCTCCTTATCAACACAACTGTCTTTGAAAACGACAAAAACAAATACACCATTCAATCAATGGGTTTACATAAAATGTTATAATTTATGTATAATTAATGTGTTGTAAAAATGCAATCAATTTACTCAATGAAAACCCACTGAATATATGTTTTAATGTTAATTACAACTAATTATAATCACATTTTTCTCTCTCTCCAGCGTAAGAGTAGTTGTTGTAATCAAATCCAGTGGTGACTTGTATTTTATCAAGATTTTAATTATGCTTTTGTTTGTCAACCAATGGTTCCATTATTACATTATAAGGAAAAAGTAGTGATTTATTTGATTAATATTTTTCAATGTAATTATTTAGCAGTTTTTCAATTATTGATTTGCTAATACAATTACCTGAGCTGTACCTGAGCTAATACAGTAGTGCGCTTTGTTTTATCACCTATTAATATATGTAGTGTACACCTGTTTAGTGTACAAGTCTATACTGTACTACAGTGTAGTCTATATAAGTTGTTTAGTTATGCAATGTTTGGCAATAGTTTTTTGATAGATTATAGCGAGAAATGTTTATAAAATGTTATAATTTATGTATAATTAATGTGTTGTAAAAATGCAATCAATTTACTCAATGAAAACCCACTGAATATATGTTTTAATGTTAATTACAACTAATTATAATCACATTTTTCTCTCCACTCAAAGCCTGGTTTTCCGATTAAATGAATTCGTTATAGACTTCACATATAAAACATGATCATCTGTTTTGACTAAAACTATATAATAATAATAACTTTTAATTGAAATTATAATGTGTTTTACAATCAAATGGATTACAGTTGACATCAAATAATAATTGTATCTGTTTTTTGCTAATTGTTATTAATGTTTAACGCGTTTTGAATGCCGTTATAATTATAGATATGTTTATAATTATAACTAGTATTTAATTATTTGTTGATTTTATTAATAGATATTATTATAAATAGCTATTTATTAGTGGAAATGAATGATAAAACAAAAACCAATCAATTAATTAATTATTGATAGTATTTAATGTTTAAACAGAAAAACAAAAGTATTTATTATTATTAATAATTATTGGATTAAGTGTTAGATTTAATTATAAATATAATTATAAGTATTAATTGTTTTTTATAAAAATATATAT